TTCGGAGGGCCCATGTTGCTGCTCACTTGAAACAAACTCAAGTACCGGCCCGAGCGACCAGTCCGTATCAAGGTAGACAGAGATGCAGAAATGGAAACATACAGCAGACCATGTCAAATCATTTGTGGCTTGGCCGTTGCAACTGCTTTTTACGTTGATTGTAAGGCGTGGTGTATCTCTTTCTTGCATGAAGCTGCCAAGTCTTAACAATTCAGAACTTGCCAGGCGTAACTATTCTGGCATTAGAGATGAGATGGGATTCCATTTCCATCACGACCTCAGCAACCTTCACTTCAAATCTTAGGCCTAATGTTTATGTGATACATCCAACAACAGCAGTTGTTGGATAGCCTTATTTCTCAGCGGGCCGCTGCAGGTTGATCTCACGCACAACTTCAAGTCTTATTTTGGGCACAACTGAACCCTTTTCCCCTGCAGGAGCCAGCGCAAGGAGGAGCACAGGCTGGACTGGTGCTACCTGCAGGACGAGGACAACCGCCATATCTTCCTCCACGAGCTACACCCCCTCCTCGCCCAGGCCCAGCAGACCACCACCATTGGCAGCAGCAACAATGCCTGTGTCGTCCGCCAAGGACCACCTCTTCAAGGTCCCCCACCATTCTTACCATTTCAGACAATATGCCAGACAGCATGCATCTATAAAAATTTCTAATTTGTGTACGCGATTCCTGCTCTCAGGGGTCGCAGGACCAGCCGGGCCTGGTCACCATCGCAATGGAGGAGATCCTCCAGTTCGCTGCATCCATCAGCGGTGCCGTCAAGGTCTCATCCTACCTGGTGGTCCAGGACACCCACATTTTTGATCTGCTGGAGCCCAAGGAGCAAGAGGTTCTGGTGCTGGATGATGCCCAGGGGAAGACCCATCTCAAGGGCCTGTCCAAGGTGCTCTAGTATAAATAAATAAATAAATAAATAATGCTTACTCTGCTCTAATAAACAGAGCCTCTTTCCAAATTAAACAGAGTGTAACAAAAATACAAAATAGACTTTGATTGGCTTTATGTATGCTTGTCCCTGGCACTCATACCAATTGTTTTGACATCCCAAGTATCCGAGTGGCGATTTCATTGTAGTATTAATATTCATTTTCCTTTGCAGGTTCATGTGAAGTCAATTGAGGACTTTTTGCAGTTGGGTTGTTTTGATGAAAACCAGGACAAGCAGCAACCCGCTAAACCTTTTTCTACCCAGCAGCGACCAACTAAAGCTTCTTCTACCCAGCTACCCACCAAGGGGCATCAAGGGCTCATTATTCACATATCTAGCTCTGATCAGGACGGCAAAGAACGTGCTGTGGCCAAGATTAACTTTCTCAGCCTCACAGGTTTGTGGTCTTCTCACTCGCACTGGCTCGCTGACATTCTAGCATGTGGTATCTGCCTTATGTTTGGTTCTTGTGTTAGACTATGTAGATCCCAAGCAGAAGACTGGCGGTGCTCTGTCGAGCAGCAACAAGACCATGTACACCTTGATGAATGTCGTGCAAGCGCTCAACAACAACCAGAACTTTGTGCCCTATAGGCAGAGCAAAGTTACTCGTATTTTGCAGGATTCTTTGTGCAAGACGAGCGGGGCTGTGGTGATCGCCTGCTTGGTAAGATACTCAACATCTTCATCTCAAATGACCTTGCTTTGTTCATGACCAATGCTTGTGTTCCTCAAATCAAATAGTGCAATACTTGTACTCCTTTTACTGACAAGACGCACATCGATGCCATAATTCAGATCTTATCCATTCTTAGGTGCTAGTAAGTAAACAGAATGTGTAGTACAAAATATTTTAAGTTACCACTACTTGTGACTGTTTGCTATGTATGTACTTCTTTATGTTTCAAGCTTACCTACCTGTTGGAACTAATATTAATATGTAGTATCAGTTATAACTAGTATCCAATTTTCATTCTTCTTTTAACATTTCATGGTTGATGCAGGAAGAAGTTTCCTGCCAAGATACAATCTCTACTCTTAGCTTGGCCGCACGCTCTAGTCAAGCGGCTAATGAGCAATGCCGCAGATCCATAAGTGTTACAAGTTTCAAAAGAGCAGATGTTAACTCATCTGCAGTTGCTAAAAGCTCCTCAAGGCCAATTCTTTCTTCTATGCACCAACCAAATCCCGTGGCAGGGAAGCAGGATCTGCCCCAATGGAATATGAGTGTAGTAAAAGCAATTGCCAATAAGAGGTAGCATGCTATTAACTATTGGTTCTATCTCTTCATGCCTACAAATTTTTCTTGTTTCTTGAAGTTAGTTATATAGAGTACTTGTATTTGTCTCTTATTAAGAACACTTCATGTTTGTTCATGTGCTAGCTGTGTTTCAGTTCCATTGGCTTCTGCAAACAGGTCTATATATTAGACTAGCCCTAGTGCTGTGAGTGCTGGGTGTCCTAGATACCGAAATATACCAAGTGCAAGTGGGTGCTTGTGTTCTGCATAGTAGCAGATGTGTTTATGTGAGCTACAATGGCCTATTTCTTCCTAATGATATGAACATTATCTCATCTTGCCATTTTTCCCTCTCTCCTGCAGGTTAACACCTGGAGTCTTTCGAGCAATGAGCAGCAAACTGCTGCCGCCGCCGGCTGTGCCAGCGGCGAAACCTCTGCCAATCCCCTCCATGGCCACTACCACCACCCTTGCTACCGCCGCCGCCGGAACCACCACCATATCCTCGCTCGGCCAAGATCAACTCCTCGAGATCTTCCTCCGCCTGCCGAGCTTGCCGGCCCTCGTCCGCGCCGCGCTCACTTGCCGCTCGTGGCTCGGCGCCGTCCGCTCCTCCCGGTCCTTCCGCAGCCTCTTCCGCGCCCTCCACCCGGCGCCCCTCGTCGGGATCTTCCTTGAAATCAACGAGGGCAGCGTCCGCTCCTTTGCCCCCTTCTGCCGCTCAGATCCCGACGTCAACGCCGCACTCCGCCGCGGCGACTTCTTCCTCACCTCCCTCCCTGCGGAGGACGACGAGCACGCGTCCTGTTGGAGCATCATGGACTGCCGCGACGGTTACATCCTCCTGTGGAACATGGTGTCCGTCGCTGTCGTGAACCCCATGACCTGGGCCGTGGACATCATCCCGGTGCCCGAGGATGCTTGGAAAGTGAGTGACTGGAAGTTCACCCTTTGTTTCCATCTGCAGTTTTCAGAGAACCCCTGGCCGTTCCACGTGGTCTGTGTGTGCTCACAAGTGTCTAGGGTTCGTGTCGCCATCTTCTCGTCAGAAACGAGGGATTGGGACGTCCACTCCTGGATGGAAATTGGTGGTGAATTCAACATGCAAGACAGTGTTACCACTCTGCTGGGTGGTTCTATTTATCAGTCTCTCTGTGGCGAAGCACGCGCGATCAGGATAAACAGAGCCACCATGGAAGTTTCCTCTCTGTATCTACCCTCGCTGGCAACGTACGGTGATTCCATGGTTGGGGATACTGAGGATGGAAAGCTCTGCATGGTCTATGCATCTGATGGTCTTCTCCATGTTTGGATCCGCAGCGGGTACGGCGATGGGATTGAGAGCTGGGTGCTGCAGGGGGGCGTTGCCTTGCCAATCTCTTTGAGGGCAAAGTTTGATGAGGACTGGAAGGACCAAGTCAGAATTGTGGAAGTCAGGTCTGGACGCGTGTACTTCTCCATGACGTGCATACCTGGTTACACAATGGCCAGCTGGTTCTTCTACCTTTCAATTAAGACCATGAAGATTGAGTTCCTGATGGAAGGCATGTCTCATGACAATGCATATCCATATACTATGGCTTGGCCTCCTTGTTTGATTGGTGATGACAGGAGCACTGAACATGAAGTCCGCGGTTGTTTGCTGAAGTCCAGCAACTCCACCACGGTAAAAACACCAGCCAACCGTAGAGCTCAAATATTTACTGATTTGATTGAATACACACACAGACAGCCTGCAATCCTGTTTAAAATATCCATTTCTTGTCTGTTCTTGTGGGTTCTTCCCATTGGGAAAGTTGCTTAGCTGCGCATATCAGTTGATGAATTATATATATCATCCATGGATTTTAATCACTTGATGCATATCCAGTTTGACTAGTCTTGTTACATGGTTCATTTTTGGTCTGGCAACTGTAGAGCTCCATCGCCATCAATCAGATGAACATTAAACATTCTGCTTGCATCAGTATTAGATCTGCAATTCATTGAACATTCTGCTTGCATGATATATGCTACTGTGGTGGCTGTTCTGTAATTACTAGTGCAATGCTTGGTTGTCCACCTATTTATGTTTTGATGTTTAACCTCATCCTCCAACATTCATCTTACTCATGCACAGCTTACTGAACAAGTGCAAGCCCTGCAGAGGGAGAAGGAGATACTCAAGGCCAGTCTAAACAAAGCAGAGGAGGACGTAAGATTAGTCAAGACCAGTCTAAACAAAGCAGAGGAGGACGTAAGATATATATATATATATATATATATATATATATATATAATATATATATATATATATATATATATGACAAATTTTCCCTACTACCGGGTGTAGTTACTCCCACTTTTGTTTCATACGTTCTATGTAGTATCTATCATATCGAAGAGTATGTACGCGTAGTATGTAGTATATAAGAATGTTTAGGTAGTATATATACTACTTTTTTGGTAGTATGTTTCATATTTTGCGCATACTTTATTTCACGTACAAATATGTATGTATTTCACAAATACAATAAAATTATGAGCCCCCTTGCCATTTTTTCATATAAATCACTTGGGAGTATCTTAGATATAGTATATGAACATATTAAAAATAATAAAGTAGAGTATATACTACCACATGATAGTATATGAGAAATGGGTGTAGCTACACCCGGTAGTAGGATGCATTTTCCCTATATATATATATATATATATATATATATATATATATATATATATACACACTGAACCTCTCTTATCCTTGCAACACCTATGTTTTGCACCTGCGACTTTTATCAATAGATTTATACAACACACCACCGCGGTTCTGATGGTTAGACGTTTCTTGCGTGTTTCATTCAAGGTTAAGTTGCTATTCGAGGAGAAGAGAGCTCTTGACGAAGCCAACAAGAGGCTGCTGTGCTTGCTGGAGAAGGAGCAGAAGCATGGGTCTGAAACAGAGCAGCACTCTGCCACTAATCCCACCAAGGTAAAAACACCAACCAACCAACCATAAAAAGCTCAAGTGTGTACTGATTTAATTCAATTTAGCACACGCACAGCACAGGCAGTAGATGAGCTGTCAGTCTGGCTACATTGACATGCATCATTAACAATGTGTCTTGTCCTTGGTGTTGCAGCACAAGTGCAAGTCGTCGAGCCCCGTCGGGCTGGCCATCGATTTCAACAGCGCGGATGCGTCGAGGCAGCCAAACTCTCCAGACTGCGGGGTGCAGAAGAAGTGAAGCCGGCCGGGCTGTGGCTTGAACTGAGCATCCATCCTTAGCTAGGCATAGGCATCGTCCAGGCTGTGGCTTGCTGGGTTAATTTGGTTGGTTCTTGTCCTCTGTCATGTAGCCTGCATTTTCCACTTTCTTGTTCCGCTTGTCTTATCATGGTGCTTTGATGAGAAAAATTACCATAGTAGTTTCGTGTCTGTGATGAGCATGCATGTAAGAGACTGTTATGGTAGCTCTAGCTGATTCGACCATTATCATGTCCAGTTGGTCATGCATGTCTCCATATTATTTCTCTCTGTGTCCCCTCGGCTGGCTATCGATAGCACTCACTTGTAAGGCTGTCGATTTCTGCCAATCAACCAATAAAAGAAGGCAGACCCAATGTTTTCGAGTCGATGAGTCGACGAGTCGCTCAGGGGGGCGACTCTAGACTAGTCTAGACTAGTCTAGACTCAGGGGGGAAAACTCTTCCCATCTGGAATAACTTTGGTTTAAGAAATTTGACGCACAAGCAGTATTCCCGCTTAGTACAGGTGAAGACTAGAAATTAGATTGAGAACCGACCAACTAGAGAGAAAAAACGGTCATAATCATGCATTGAGAATAATTATCATTGAGCACTAGCATGAGTAGGATATAAACACCCTAAACATAAATATCGGTTGAAATACGTACTCCCCCAAGGTTAGGCTTTTGGCCTAGCTAGCTTGGTAATCACCATAGCCTTGATAATAATCCGAATGATAGCCCACGGAGGCTCTTGGAGCAGCCTCGATCTCTACATTGTACGCGCGGGCCTCGCCCTCAAGAACGTAATATCTTCCCTTACTATGATAATCAAAGAGAGCAGGAGCAGGCAAAACAATAGGTACAATTGGTTTTTTTATTGAACCTCAAGTTGTAAGTATGATTAGTGATTGCGCCCTTAAGAAACTTATGGCACTTCATGGCCTCAAAGTCTAAGTACTGGGTAGGTAGAATAGGATCGTTAGGCCAAGCACTAGTAGAAAACAGGGCTTTGGTCCAGGGCAATATTCACATTAGTCCCGGTTTAGTCACGAACCGGGACTAATGTGAGCATTGGTCCCAGTTCGTGCGGCTAAGGCATTAGTCCCGGTTCACCTGAGCCCTTTAGTCCCTGTTTAAGACACGAACCGGGACTAAAGGGTGCGATGCCCTTTAGTCCCGGTTCGTGCCTCAAACCGGGACTAAAGATTAGACCTTTAGTCCCGGTTTGAGACACGAACCGGTATTAATGGGGTTGAGACCTTTAGTCCCGGTTCGTGCCACGAACCGGTACTAAAGGTCCCATTTTCAAACTCTACCCCCCTGTGGATCACCTTTTCAGTTTTGTAAAAAGCAAAAGAAAATGATAAAAACTTCAAAAATTAAAATCCTTCCAGATGTAGTTATGTTACTACATGTACTAGTTAGGAAAATTTAAAAACTTAAATTTGGACATGTTTTGCAAAAAGTATAGTGAAAATGTAAAACGGCTATAATTTTTGCATACGATGTCAGAAAAAAACGTATAATATATCAAAATATTCAGCATGAAAATCCGCATCCGATTTTGACCGCCTACGGCCTGTTTGCAAATTTTTGAATTCTCAAATTCTAAAAGGGAAAAAAGTTATGCTCAAATTTCAATTTTTTTTTGAATTTTTGTTAAATCTGGTGAAACTACTTATTCAAGAAGTATTAGTGTTACTAAATAATTATTCAAGAATATTAGTGTTAGTAAATAATTATTTCTATTTTTTGAATTTTGGTCAAATCTGGTCAAATTGTGGTCAAACTAATTATTCAAGAAATATTAGTGTTACTAAATAATTATTTTAGTTTTTTTGAATTCTGGTGAAATCTGGTCAAACTGTGGTCAAACTATGGTCAAACTACTTATTCAAGAAATATTAGTGTTACTAAATAATTATTGTTTTTTAGAACGATAGTTTCAAACTCAAACAGTGAAATGTGTGACTTCATGCTCAAGCTAAATTCCTGAGGGTTAATAGGATTGACATCTTAGTATTGTCAGGAAAACAACAAGTGCAGACTTGGAAACGAGGGAGAATAGAACTCGGAAGTTAAGCGTGCTCAGGCTGGAGTAGTGAGAGGATGGGTGACCGTCTGGGAAGTTAGATGATTTGGAATGATGAGGGGTGATTAGAGACTAGAGGTTAAATTGAGCAGTGATGAGGGGTGATTAGAGATTAGAGGTTAAAATAATTCAGAAATCTAAAAATAAAAAAAAAATTCAAATTTTTTTTCAAAAAAAATCATAAAATTTCCTTTAGTACCGGTTCGTATTACCAACCGGGACTAAAGGTGGACCTCCAGGCAGCGGCCACGTGGAGGGCCTTTAGTCCCGGTTCGTGAAAGAACCGGGACTAAAGGGGGAGGCTTTAGTAACGATCCTTTAGTCCCGGTTTTAGAACCGGGACTAAAGGCCCTTATGAACCGGGACTAAAGACCCTTTTTCTACTAGTGAAGGTGACACACGCAACCTTTTAGCTAAGGAAGCGTAAATTCCACCATAAAAGTAAAAATTGGAAGCATTATGTTGCAATCTCGGTGCAACAATCGCTCCAAGATTATAACGTTTAATTCCTGTTTGGGCAGTGTGTATGAGGCTCAACTCAGGGGCACACAATATGCTGCAATCTTTCTTGTCCATGATGCATTTGCCATTAAAGCGTGCAAAGTAATGGATGGATGAAAAATGAATACTTTTTATTCTACCTTGAGTCACTCCTCTATCCTCACCGTAACAGAGACTAGTTAAAAACGACTCATACTCAGATCTTGGTAGTTCGTCCAGCGAACCCCAATACAAAGTTTTGCACGCATCACAGAACACGTCTGACGACATGGTAAAGGGAAGATCATAAAGGCTAAATGAAACTCTAGACTCACGAGGGTGATACTTAAATTTCTTAGTGAATGTTTCTGTGAGACTGAGATGCTGGGTGCACTTATCTTCGATAAAAGGAGCAAGCTCGGTGTTGTGAACATACTCCTCAAATTCTTCCTTGATACCTGCACTAACCATGAACTGGTTACATGGCCATAAGCATGATTTGATAGCGGCATCCCGCATCGAGCTTGCACTTGGCTCAACATAAGACCGTCGTATTGAGCTGCTGCTCGATGATGCCTCCGAGGACCTCCTCCTTGAAGAACTCCTTCCAAAAAGACACATTTATTCGCGTACAATTTTCTGAAATTTTTGGGTCACAAAATTTTTGTCAACAAAACTTTGCAAGATTGATAGCAACTACTCATAAGGGTGTCTAGAGGCCATATCAAACTACTTAGAACTCTAAGAACTACATAATTACCCGCGCGTTGCAGCGGGACATATGCTCCAAAATACTTGTTGAAGGGGTGTGCACAAAACTGGAAAATAATGTATAGCAACAAATAGTAATAAACAATTGTGTGAGCCATTCACCACAAATTTTTGCACCCTTGTTTTCTAAAATGTTTATCCTAAAACTAATATCCTGTAATTAAAGGTTATCTGAGATTTAACACTAATTAGTGCGTGCATAGTAATAAGATTGTCTGAAGAAATATTAATGGTCATCTTACATAGTAATGTGACAAAGTATAGGTCTGTCTTAGATTAACCTATGCATTGCAGAGTAGAGAATAGGTGACACAAATGCAATGATTCAGATGGTGTCCTCCACTCCTCCTCTATCCTCTTCTTTGGGAGAAGGAAAACAGGAAGCAAGCCTCAGTCGAGGCGAAGCTGCGAACAGGGAGGTCCCAACTCTGAAAATGGTAAGCTGTTTTCTCCTAACACACCAGCAAAGAACACCCTACTCAAACCGAATTCTTGTAATAGCAGTTTCTGCTTTTCATTTTGAGGCAGAGCTTAAGAGGCAGGAGGAGAAGATCAGCGCACCATTGGTTGAAATTTTCAGTCTGTTTGATTGAATGTAGGATCATCACCATCGAATAATGAAAAAATCTAAAATTATTCGACAATATAGTATAATAACCAACTGAGCTATTTCCCCTTTCGTAACTAGTGCCGATTCAACAGTTACCTTTGTAACTATACCAAATTAAGTAACTGTACATATCAAAAAAATCTAAAATTATTCGACGACATTCCTAGGGGGTATGTCTACAACTCTGAAAAAAACCAGCTCAAAACTCGATGTACAATTAGAGATTCAAATATGACAAATTCAAATGTGAATAGTGGCAGCTTTGACACTATTCACATCCAATTTTATATTTTTTGTTTCTATTGATGTAGGTTTAAGTAGGAACTGAACTTTTTGAGATTATACATCAAATATTGATGTGTATAAGTTTTTTTTTTGAAAGTGTTTGAACATGTATTTTTTTCAAAAAGATCAATCTTATTGATCTCGCCTAATATGAGATCACACAAGTCTCCTCTGAGATGACAAGGAGCCGAACCGTCGAAGACGAATGCCAGACACCAGTTCAAAAGGACCGCGTGTGACAAGAAAATCATTGGCTTGAGGATCATTACATAGATATTTTTAATTGTCTGATGGTGATGACTGATGACCCTATATGAATAAGAGTGGTGCCTTTAGGGTTTGGGGATCAAGGTAGAATGGATAAGAATGAAAATGGGAGGATAATTATTGGGTGGGGCGCCACTCTAGATTGTTCTTTGTGCCGACCTTGCCAGTGGTGTGGAAGTGGTGTGCGCAACTGGCCGCATAATCTGTGTCATACCTATGACTTGCGAGGTTCATCGCACATCACTAGTAATGGATTACCACTGATGTTCACAGTCTAGCAAATGTCATTCATATTGACAAGTTACCAGTGGCATGCGCCCTAGGGTGTGCCGACCGTCAACAAAAAGGAAACTCTTTGAATCCCAACCTTCTCCACCGCCAAACATCACCGTCTCTAATGTTTGTTGCACAATCATAATGAATTGTTGACAATTTTTCTTGTAAACCTAGTCGGACCTAAAACACAACCCACTATATACACAACAAGAAAAC